CATTAAATTAAGTAATATGTTAGTAAATGGTATGCACATACATGAATTAAAAAGTTATGTGAGGGAAAAGGAAAAAGAAATTATACCATTATATTAGCTGTCAATATATGGTTGACTATCCGCTTCACTGTTAAAGTATGGTTGATTATCCATTTGAATATCAAAATTTGGTTGACTATCCATTTGGCTGTCAAAGTCTGGTTGACTGTCCGAAACGTAGCTATCAAAATAATCTTGATTGTCCATTTTCCTTTATAAGTAATCTTAACTGTCCATTAATTAACATAGTAATTTATAATCAATAATTAATTAAATTAATCAACATTTACTTTGTAATTAAATATGCCATTATGATTTAATTAGTCATAAATTATAATCATTATATTTAATTAGAATTTTTTAATGAAGTAAACAATTTAATTAATTATAAGTTACTTAACAATTAAAGCATATAATCATAATTCTCTAATTAATCAATCAAAATTCATTATTTATCATCCATAAAAAAAATGAAATCATACTTTTATAATCAATTAAGTAATAAACATATTTTTGTTTACTTAGCACTTAAATATGTAATTATAAATTATTAATCAATCAATTATACATTCTAATTAATTATAGTTTTTTAGCAATCAGACCATTAATAAATTATAGTTTATTTAACAATTAAAGCATATAATCATAACTTTCTAATCAATTAATTAATTAATTAAGGTAATCAATATGATTATTATTTAATTGAATAATAAAATCAGTATTTTATAATAAATTATTTGGTTTATTTAATCATACATTCCTAATTACTAATCATATTTTTTTATTTATTTCTAAACTAAATTTCTACAAAAAATAAAGAAAAAAATTTATATAACATAATTGTAGTTTGACTGATTTTTAATTTAGAAAAATGAATAAGAAATTACTTATTTGAGTGGGATAGATGCACCCGAAACCAAAAATTGTCATACCTTAATAAAGTACAAATAAAATCAATTAATCAATAGTAAGAAATCTACTGTTGGAAATGAAGATTATGATAGAAGAACAAATAGTACATTGAAAAATATCATGTGTTATTCTGATTAAATCTAAATTACCAACAAAATTATAACATTAAATTTAACAAAGCTCAACCGAAAATAACTAAAGAAAATACTAGATCTGGACAAATGTGTGCAACATAATTGCTAATAATAATTCAATATTGCATTTAAAATTAAATTATTGCCAAAAAGTAGTTAAAAAGAGGTCAAATAATGGAAACTCAAAATAAAAAAAAAATGAAAGATTGTAGATACTCATACTTTTCTTAAATGAAAATCCTCAAAAACTACTAAATTAATCAACAGCAACTCATTGTGTATGGATTCAATCAGAAATTAGTGAGAAGTTAAAGAGAAGACGATAAGAGTAAGGAGAGCAAAGGCTTTCTGATAAAAATGCAAATGCAATGAATGAAAATCAACTAGTCTATTTCAAATCTCAATTGCAATTTCACACGCAATTCAGGCAAAAACAATTTTTTTTACAACATTTTTTCGGTCAAGGAAAATGACCGAACAAATACTAGCATACCTACTTTTGCAGATTTCCAGATTTCCAGCTTTATTCGGTCATTCCCACTGACCGAAACCACCAAGAATAAATCTACAACCTCTGCGCATTTCCATGCGGAATAGGGGCTAAAAATTGCTGGTGGGGGGGAAGATTTTTTCAGGCATGCTTCGGTCAGTGGAATTGACCGAAACAGCCATGAATAAATCTGAAACCTTGCACATTTCCATGCGGAATAGGGGCTAAAAATGGGTGGTGCAGGAGTAGGATTTTTTCAGGCATGTTTCGGTCAATCACACTGACCGAAACAGCCATGATGAATCTCAATGCAGATTCATTGCTTGTTTCGGTCATTGAGACTGACCGAAACAAGCATGAGAGATCTACAAATTTACAGAACTCCCATGCGTGCACAGGGAAACAATTGCCTTTTATTTTTTTCAAGCAACTTTTTTTAACCTGCGAATCTGAAAAATCTGCCATGCAGATTTACCATGCATCTTTTTGCAAATTTTGCAGGTTTGCATCATTTGTTCATTTAGTTCAACTGACCGTAGAAATTATTTTTTTGCAATTTTTATTTCGGTCATTTTTTATGACCGAATTAGTGAATTTTATACTAATTTGTTAGTATAATTATTGCAGATTTTATTTCGGTCATTTTTTATGACCGAATTAGTGAATTTTATACTAATTTGTTACTATAATTTTTCTTTTGTATTATTCGGTCAGTGAACTTGACCGAAATTGTTCTATTTCGGTTAATCTCATTGACCGAAATCACTTGAGACCGAACTACATGTTTTTTCCCATTTAATTCGGTCGAACTTAGTTTTCGGTCATTATATATGACCGAAATAATATGCTTTTCGGTCAAGATAATTACTTGACCGAAATATCTGGACCGAAAAAGGGACCTTTTTTAGTAGTGTGATTAATGATCAAATTTTATCAAAAATAAGGTACTAATAAGAAATAAAGTATTAACTTTTAATTTTTAATTTTTAATTATTATCTTTGTCAAAAAAAAAAAGAAAAAAGACAGAAGTAGTTTTTTATTTTTATTTTTAAATTTATGGCACTAATAAAAGACGAGTTGGCTAGTCGCACAATGAGAGTAAAAGCTATTCCAAATCCATCGTTGCCAAGCCTCTCAATCAATAATTAAAAACAAAGGGGTAAATCAGAAAGAGAGGTTCTGTTGAGAACAAAAGAAAGGTTCTCTTCCCCTTTATCGAACGGACAGAAACGCGTTAATAAGAGACTAAAATCTCATTTTGACCCTTAACTTTTGTATAGGGTCTTTTTTTAGTTTTTTTAACATATAAAATTTCTTTTTAATTTTTAAAATTTATTTTTTTTTCAACGCTTTTTATCCCTTTGTCAGTTAAATAATAACATGACACTTTTGCTCCACTATCTCTACTTTAAGTTTAAATTAAATTGTTGCCACGAAAAATAAACCTAAAAATTAAGTCTGACTTGGAATAAAAATGATAACATGTACAATTGGACACACTTAAA